GCAAAAATATCAGGTACAGCCAGCGGTGGTGCCACAGACCTGTAATCCTAGCACTGGGGAGGCAGAAGCAGCAGGCTATGAGTTTGAGGCCAGCCTGGTCTACAAAGTGAGGACAGGCCAGCCAAGGCTACACAGGAAAAAAAACAAAACAAAACAACAATAAAAAAAACAAAAAACCTGTCTCGGAAAACAAAAACAAAAACCAGGTACCCAGAACAGCTAAAAGGTGAAGTAACAACACTACCATTTATGGCCTGCAGAAATGAGCAAAGCACTTAGAAAGTGGTATCAATTCATATAATATTAGTTACCTATGAGATAGGTGGTACCATCTCCTTTTATATATGTAAAGAATAACTTAGGACCACACAGCTAGCTATCCATGGCAAAGCCGGGATCTACCTCAATACTGTGTGTGTGGAGATCACAGATGAACTTTTGAGTGTCATTCCTCAGGAGCTTTCCTGGGGGGGAGGAGTTGTTTTGTTTTTTTGAGACAGATCTCTCACAGAGCAACCCACAGTGCTCCAGGCATTCTGTCTCCACATCCCCAGGACTAGGACTGTATGTGCCCACCACATCTGGCGTTTTCACATGGGTGCTAGGATGAACAGGTCCTTATGCTTGCACAGCAGTAAGCATTTTACCTACCAAGCTATCTCCCAAGCCACAATATTAATTAAAAAGTCCATAGTTAATTATTTTGGGCGACATGAAGTCAGAAGACAACAGAGGGACTTGTTCTCTCCTTCACCACGTGGGTAACAGGAATTGAACCTAGGATATCAGGTTTGGTGACAAGCGCCTTTAACAACTAAGCCATTTCACTAGCCCCTCAACATTAATTCTAAAATTAATATTCTTTTCTCAATGTAGCAATCTTTTAAAAATCAGCCATGATTCCCAATACTTAAACTACTGTTAATTGTTTTGAAGAATCATGTAAGGTTATTACAGTAGTTATAGTACACTCTAAAAACTCATCAAATTATCAAACAAATTTTAATGTAAGGATCTCCCCATGAGGACAAACAGTGACAAACCAGGCTCATATCAACTTCAATTTGGCTTTTCAGCTATTTCTCAAGGTCATTCAGAAATAACTCTTCTAGTTGAGTCTTTTAAGGAAAACTATGAAATAAACAACCAGAACAGGAAAACTTACATAATCAAGAACTGGCCAGAACTTGAGGAAAAAGATTACCTACAATCTGGCAGAATAGCTTGTTTTTTTGTGAGTTCATTGCTCACTTTCATCTCATTACAAGTATTAGAAACATGTAATTGCCTCTCAAAAGCACACTCTAAGTTGCTTTTAGCAGACATATCAGAGAATAGAAAAGTACTTCAAATCCATCTCTTCCTTTAACATTCTCCTTAGGAAAATCCCCCTCAAAGTCCAGCTCCAACTGTTTCTCGTTATAAAATGCTGATCGACTAGAAGCCTATGATAGATAGATCTAAAGTTAAAAAGTTATTATGTAACTATATTGTCCTGGCCCCTAACTAGTATGAATGTCACCTCCTTAGGTAAATGTATAAACCAAGAATTTTTTTTTTTTTTTTAAGTCAGAGTCTCACGATGGAGAGTACTGGCCTGAAACACTAGCCTGAAACTCAGAAGAATCCGTCTGCCTCTGCCTCCTAAGTGCTGGGATTAGAGGTGTGCACAGTCATGCCCAGCCAATTAAGGATTCTTTTAAACATCAGCTTACAAAAAATTATAGTTCTTAGAATCGCTCATTTACACAACTGTGTTTGCCTGATGTCAGTGACAGAGCAGGGAGCACAATTCTTGCAGGATGCAGTAACTTAGAAGCTTCTCTCTACTTAGGGAAGGAGAGAGCCCCTTCTTTTCCCTTTTCCCATACAAAATTAAAAACCTAAAATACTGCAAAGCAGTATGGTAAGCAACAATAAATGATGGTCATACTACAATCTAGTAAGCAAGAACTTAATTAGGACGGTTTTCTGCAGAGTATCTGATAGATTTTTTTTCTCCCTAGCATAAATCAAGTACTAGAAAAACTGGACTTTCAGCAGCTCTCATCTGATATATACCAGCAATTATCACCCCACAAATGAACAGCAATGCACACATCTTTAAGTTAATAGGGTGCATGTACAAAAAAGTAACATTGTCATGCCATACATGTTGTTCTACCACAAGTCAAACCGTCATTACTTAGACTCAAATGACCTGAGTGTGGCTCCTGATTTTAGCATTTACTTCTGTGTTATATAGATGTGTATCTTTGGAAGAATTCTAATTTCTGCACCTCAGTTTCATCATCTATACAATGAGACTAACAGTACTTACCTTTCATTGGCCGAAGACTGAATTAATGCTTGAAGTGATTACAAGGAAGCTTGACACATAAAGAGCTACAAGTGGTGACTAGTATGATCATAAACTATTTACTTGGCGATACCTCAGTAGCTGATGACTAAGTCACAAAGGGTAGATTCTGTATGTTTCTACCCTATAGGCACATATGCTATACCTAATCTAAATGTGGGCTCATGTACATGTGTGGTCAAAAACAAGATAAAGGCTGCTCGATGGATACTAAAGCTACAATTGCATAGGAGGTGCAAATTCTGTTGTCCTATGCACTCTACCCTGACTATACATAGCATCGGGCTATATTTCTCAGTGGGCTAGAAGAAAAGACTTTATTTACACCACAAAAAAAATCATGTCTGAACAGACAGGCTAAACATGACACAATATATATTTAAACATCACTGGGGTACATCCATTCATGTGCAGTTCAGTTTTTGCTTTTTAATAACTGTTTGTATTAAAAACTATGTTTAATTCGGTCAGCCACACATCAAAAGCTGTATTACTAGCCCAGCATGGAGGTACACCCCTGTAATCTCAGCACCCAAGAGGCAGAGAGGAGGAGACTGGGGCAGTGAGTCTGAGACTAGGCTGGGCTACACAGCAAAAAGATGTAGAAGAGGGAACACCATTATCATTTATACAGTCCAGATGAGAAAAACTGGATTTGCCATATATAAAGTTATATATAATGTACCATTTTTCATAGCAAATGGGAAAAATAAGATTATATTTTATCAAAAAGGAAGTAAAGTCAAGGATTAAAATACAACAAAACCAAAGGCTTGTACTGGGTCTCAGACATCTATGGTGTCAGGGAGGCTAAGAACCAGAGATGAATTAACCCCTGAAGATCACAGCTAGAAAGCAATACAGGGAAGAACTGAATCAAATTTACCTAACTTCAGTGCTGTTTCTGGATCCACAGCCAAATGGGAGAAAATGCACTTTTTACAGCAGCCCAAACCTCTGGAGACTCTGCCTAGGGAACGAGCATCAAGGGAATGTGCTCGGCCTGGTTTCACGCAGACTGCCTCCTTGATCCATACAGCTCCAAGTCTAAAATGGCTTCAACATAACACAAGCACTGCATGATGGGAAATGGAAGATAACAGGGTAGGAGCCATACTCCTGGGGATGACAGGCCATAAATACTTGCCACAGATGAAAGAGGATATTCAATCTGAAAGTAGGTGTGTGGCTTAGGCCAAATCACCTCATTTCTTATAAAGACTTCATCTGTAAGATGGGCGAATGGTTCCTTATACTGTTTGAAGGCAGAGGCTAAAAAAATAATTTAGCTGTTGGTACCAGATTTCCAGCATTCCATTTCTAAGGTTATGCTTAAAATTCTAACTTGGGTGGAGAAGAAAAAAAAACCCAACATTCATCAGCCATATGCTGCTTAAAAAGACTTGGGTAACCCAAAGAAATGGGGTGTGCTGGAAACAGTCAGGGAGAAATCTACTAAGCACCAAGTAATATTTGTATAAATTCCTAGCAGCTAAATGTAAAATGCTGAGTAACCACGTATTCAGTCCTACACACTGTATGTATGTGTGGTTTCACAGGAACACCCGAGAGACTGTGAGAAATGTAATTTTCATATTCTCTTAAGTGTCGTACCTTTCTGCACTGGCTCCTGTGATTTTACAGATTCATAACACCTTGCCAGATTCCACCTCCCACATCAGTCAAGTAAAATCAAGAATCGAATGCTATCTGGTCTCACCAGAGAGAATGTACTGAAGGCAAGGACAAGAGACAAGCATTTTAACAGAGAGGTTGGCAAATTTTCACCAACGCTGCCACCTTTGGAATCCTCAATCCACGCAAGTTCTCCATTTTCAATAAACCCAGATGAGCTCATCTTGCAAAGAAAAGGGTCCACATCTCTCGCCTACTCCTTCCCCACCAACAGTGAGATTACTAGACAGTTTTCAGTGAAAAAAAAAAAAAAAAGAAAGAAAAAACATAAAAAAACCCAAAATCCACAAAAAGCGTACGGATGAATTTGGGAGGCAGACAAACGAGATTCGGGCAGCAAATGACGACTAATATCATGAGAAAAGACTCAATTCTCAGCCTGCTCTCCCCCTCCCCCCATTGGGAATCCAGTTTGAATCAAGAAAAGGTTCAGACAAATCCTTTTCTTGATTCAAACCTCAACCCTGCTGTCAGGGAATCTCGGGTCCAGCCGGGTTTCCCACACCAGCGATGATGAAACAGCTTTACTGCAAAGTGGGAGAGGGATTCGCCCCAGCTGTCGCCAAGGTTAAACCCTTACTCATCCAGGGGAGTGCGACAGGGGCGTCGCGGCACCGGCACTCGCCCGCCTTCGACTGCATTTCAAAATTTGAAAGCCACAAAGAATGAGCGAGGATGACAGGCTCACGGGGACGGCTCCGGGCCCGGGGGGAGCAGGCTGGGGCGGCGCCGAGCAGAGGAGATGCCGTGGGGAGTCCACGGCCCAGGCGTTCCCAGCCGCGCAGGCCCGGCCGCACCCCGTGCAGCGCGCCGAGGGAGAAGCCCGGGCTTCCCGCGGAGGCGCAGGCCAGGCCGGAAGCGGGGAGGGGCGGCGGCGAGACGGGCCGCAGTCGCTGCCCGAGAAGGGGCTTCGCGCTGGGGCCCCTGGGAGCCGCACCGCACTCACCGTGGAGGACTGTGGGGAGCAAAGGTGCTTCCGGGAAGCTCGGAGGGAGGCGACTGCGTCCTTCCCAAGCGCACTCCTCAGGCGGTGGTGGCGGCAGCGGTGACCGTAGCTGCAGAGGCGGCGGCGGAGGCTGCTCCCCGGCTCCGGAATCGGCGGCGGCGGCGGCGGCGGTGGTGGCGGCAGCTGCACTTCCGCTCCGGCCACCACTTCCGCTCTACCCCAAGTCCCGCCCCACCCCGAGTCGACTCCTCATTGGGTGATTGAGGCACGGGGTTGCCCCGTCCTCCCGAAAAGGGCGGTGATAGCCAAGGAGGAGGGGAAGTCACGGAGGGCCGAGAGGGAGCGGTCGTGGGAGGGTGCAGGGCCTGGGTGGGAGCGCGGTGGGGGCGGACGCAGAAAGGAAGTGGGGTGGGGTAGCAGGAAGAGGAGGAAGGAGAAAGGGCGGAGCTGAGATGACCGCCCCAGGACTAGGTTGTCTGAGAACAGGGCGGGTCCCCGGAGGGAGGGTTCAGAATCTTAGACTGATCTTGGTCCAGTCTGAGGTTATCTGTTCCCACCCAACCCTGAAAATAATCCTCACGGGGTCGGAGGCCCTAGCAGTCACTATACTAGAAGTGCGCTAAAGGAATGCTGTAACTAAAGGAACAGAAATGGCTCAGCCTTATATTTTCAGTTAATTCACCTTGCAATCCTAACCGGTACTTACTGTTCCATTCCTACACCTAGGAAGCTCAGAACATCCCCAATTAAAAACAGCAAAAACAAAACAACTGTGTACATTAGCTCTTCATTGAGAGTCCCTAGTCCCCAAGTGTTATTCAAAGGAAAATCCACAAAGACAGACTCTGGAATCTCCAGACATTTTTCACTGTTACCTGAATTTTATTAATACTCCGCTCAAGCCTGTGGACTTTTAAACCTAACCCTTCAAAATACGTCTACCACTGCTCCTTCATTTTCCACAAATTCTGTGTGACAGTTTTCTGAATGCTGGAGAATAACAAGAGACAAGGCTAACAGACGGTTGGTCTGCTGTCTTGAAGCTTACAATCTCTGGAACAAATAGGCCTTTGTCATTTTCTCCTTTACTCCTACGGCGCTTAATGATAGACTTCTAATTCACCACTTGTCTCTCGGCTATGCCCCCACCAAGTACCAAGTACCAAATACCAAGTCATCTTTTTTTCAATGTCATTCGAAAATGTGTCCAGTTCTTGTTTAAATTCTTTGGTGATGGCTCAGAACTTATAGTTTCCCATAGATCTTATACGATTGTTGATTGTTTGCTTTGTTTTGTTGTTTCTAATGCAGAATCCAGTTTTCACACTTGGGGAGCAAGTGTTTTAACCACTGAGCCACCTCTCTAGCACCACTTCACCCTTTTTGTCTCTTGTAACTCAGGTTGGCCTCCATCTTAAGTGTGACCTGGAACTTCTGATACTCCTGTCTCCAGATCCTGAGTGTTGGGGCTATCAGTGTGTGCCAGGATACAAATTTATAGGGTTCTGCATATCAAAACAAACAGTCAACAACGTGGAAGTGTAATACCAATCAACCCGTGGATGCTAGGTAAGGGCCCTACTGCATGCTAGGTAAGGGCCCTACTGGCTGAGGTGTACCAACAGTCTGGTTGCCAACTTAAAAAAAGAATCAGATTTCTATGGACAGAAAACTGCATCTCTGCCTTGTCTGGCAATGCTGTACATTTCTGTATGGCAGCTGAGACCACAGAGTGGCCGTTTGCTTTAGATTGGGTAGGTATGCACAAACTTTCCAGGTTATAAGGGTCCTCTCCAAACCTGTAGGCCTTTTTCATTTACATCGTCTGTTGTGCAGACGTTTGTTCTTCAGACTCAGACGGCATCACATGTCCTGAACCAAATACAACAACTTTTAACTTGAACGAGAATAAGAGTGTGTTGTGTAATGTTAAAACAAAAACAAAAACAAAAACAGACATGGATTTTAATCCAAACCACCGCTTTCTTAATACCACAAGTAGCCCATGGCATTTGTCTTTGGTAGACCAAAGACCTAATCCAGAGTCTGTTAATCCAGAGTCTGTTCAGACTGCAGTAGATTTAATATGACAGGACTGTCTTCTGCCCCCATCTAGAAAGTGGCCTAATGGGTTAGAGGCTTACAATGATTACCCCACAAGTTGCATCATCAGTACATGGAGTGAACAGAAATGGTCTTTGTCAGGCCTCCCCTGGTGCCTGCTAACGGCTTGCATGGATTAAGTGCTTTCGCCATCTCTGCATTCTAGGCCAGGGGTCAGCAAGCCACAATGATCAACTGACAGATTCAAAGGTGAAATGTCGTATGTGTTCCAGTTTGCTTCTCTGTTGCTGAGAAATAAAAGCCAAGCTTGGGGAGGCAAGGGTTGATTGGTATTACACTTCCACATTATAGACCATCACTGAAGGAAGCCAAGGCAGGAACCTGGAGGGAGGAACTTAAGTAGACGCCATGCAGGAGTACTGCTCTTTTTGGCTTCCCTTCCATGGCTTGTTTATCGATGGACCACCTGCTGAGGAGTGGCACTGCCCACAGCAGGCTGCGCCCTCCCACATCAATCATTAATCGAGAAAACGCCCTCCAGACTTGCCCGCAGGGTAGGCTGATGCAGGTGATCCCTCAGGTGAGGTTCCCACTTCCTAGGTGACTCTAGCGTGTGTCAGGTTGACAGAATCTAAGCAGCACGTGTGGAACAGTACTAACCAAATGAGCCAGTGATTGTGGGAATGTTGGAGGAGGGAACACATATCTGGTCTTGGGAGTGAAGAGAGACTGGGAAGACTGACTGAACAGAACACACTAATTCCAGTATCTCCCTATTCCTTACCCACACTCCCCTTGTTGACAGTATGTTATATTTCTGCGATACATTTGTTGCATTTGATGAGCAAATGTTGCATTTGATGAGCAGGGTTAATACATTATCTTTAACTGTCACCTAAAGTTTCAAGTTGGACTGCACTCTTTGTATTTTAAATTCCCATAGATCTTGACAAGCATGATGGATAATGAATGTATCCACCATTATCTTCCAAGAGTTTTACTGCCCCAAGAATCCCCTATGCTTCATTTGTTGATCCCTTACGTCCATACCCCCAACCTTTGGCAAGTACTGACATTTTACACTCTTTATAGTTTTGCCTTTTCTAGGGAGAGTTGGATCATGCAGTAGGTAGCATTTTCTTTCTTCTATTTTTGAACTGTCTTTGTAGATCAGACTGACCTTGAACTCACAGAGATTTGCCTGCCTCTGCCCCCCAAGTGCTGGATTAAAGGTAGCATTTTCTGTTTGGCATCTTTCATGTGGTTTGAAGTTTAAAGTGATGTAGTTTAAAGTTCCTTCATGTCTTTTTGTAGCTTGACAGCTCATTTCTTTTTATCATTGAACAATATTCCATTATCTGAATATTCCACAGATAATTTATCAGATAACCAATTCTTTTTTTTTTTTAAGACAGGTTCTCTCACCCTATACCCCAGGGTGGCTTTGAACTCATTGCTGTTCCCTTGCCTCAGTCTTCCAAATGCTGAAATTACAGACCTGAAACATCCACCTAGCTCCTAGCTCCTTGTGCCCTCCATGAAGATTTGTGGAAGTTGAGATCTTAGATACATGTGACTATCACCTTATTTGGAAAAAGCTCTTTGTACATCTAACCAAATTAAGATGAGTTCATTAGAGCAGATCCTAATTCACGGCAGATTTCTGTAAAAAGGGACACGTCACATGGAGACAGAAGCACACAGAGGACACTATGTGATAAGAGGCATGGAGCAGAATGTCATAGCTACAAGCCAAGGAGCACCGAGGAGCACCAGCAACACTAGAAACTAAACGGAGGCCTCAGAAGAATCTGCCCAGAGTCTGAGAGAGAATATGGCCCCATAACTACCTTATTTCAGACTTCTAGACTGAAGTCGTTGAGGCGTGAGACAATACATGTCTGTGTTTCAAAGCCATCTAGTTGACAGCACTTGGTTGCAGAGCCCTGGGAGCTAATAGAAGCTCCGAGGGAGCTCTTGATCCGGCCCTGGACAATTACGACTGACACGACTGTGGACGCTTAAATGCAGATTTTTTTGTGTGGACATCAGTTCTCAGTTCATCTACATTAAAATGCAGGAGCAAGACTGTTAGAATGTACATTAAAACTATGTCTAATGTGTGCGCGAGCACAAGTGCATGCATGCGTGAATGCGTTCAGGCTTCAGGTTGACATTGGATGTCTTCCTTTATTTGAACTAAAAATGTATTTTTAAATTGTATGTGTACAGGTGTTTGATCTGCACTTGTAGTCACGCAGCATGTGCATGCCTGGTGCCCTCTGAGGCCAGAGGAGGCTGTTAGATTCCTTGGGACTGGAATTACAGACAGCTCTGAGCCACCATGTGGGTGCTAGGAATTAAACCTGGGTCTGCTGGAAAAGCAGCCAGTGTTCTTAACTGCCGTCTCTCCAGCCCTTGCATATCTTTTTCAACATCCTTCATCTTGTTTTATTTTTCGAGACACAGTCTCTCACTGAACCTGCCCTTCACTGATTCATCTCATCTGGCTGACCAGGGGTTCCAGGGATCCTCCTAGTTCTACCTTCACAGTCCTGGGATTAGAGATGTGTACTACTGTGCCCGGATTATCACATGGGTGCTAAGGATCTGAACTCAGGTCATCATGCTTGTACTACAGATAGTTTACAGATGGAGCTATCTCACTAGCCCCCAAATCATGTCTGACTTTTAAAGGAACTATCAAAATGACTGTCCCTTTATTATTATTATTACACCAGCAATGAAGAGTGCTGCTCCCTGAGCATGCCTGTATCTTGTATGTTAGGCTTTAGTTTCTGTTGATTTGTTTTCTAGATTTTAACCATTGAAATTGGTGTGCATTGGTATCTCATTATTGTCTTAATTTACAGATGTGTGTGTGTGTGTGTGTGTGTGTGTTTACATATAAACTGGCTTGTGCAGTTGTGTATAGAGGCCAGAGGTCTGTGTTGGGCGTTCCCTCTATCTCTATTTGTCTTTTAGTTTAGTTTTTGAGACAGGCTATCCTAGCCAACCAGTGGGCCTCAGGGGTCAGCCATCTTCCTTGGACACACCTAGCTTTGGGGTTATGTGTGGCCTACTCTTTCCACTAGAACCCTTAGAATACTCATCCCAGCAATATTAAATTCTTCGT